TTTGTACAATTTTCGTGCAGAGTTTACTCTGGGTTGGTTTGTCTGACTTTTGTTGCTTTGTTTCCTTTGCCTAGAGGAAAACTAAATACTAAGCACTTGTTACAGTCCAGCAGTGTATTCTAAAAGGGCATCCCTCTTTCATTGCTGGGATAGCAATAGTGCTTCCTATTTGGGCCCTCTTTTCTGGTCATACACTCACAGACCCTGAGTTGTCTTCTCAGAGAACTTGCCTATAGGACCCATATGGCATGCAATGGTCACTATAGCTCTGTTTCCCCAAGGTCAGGCTGGTCTCTCCCTCTCACACTATCAGAAGCATCCTTTTTCTTCCCCAAGGGACAGGCAGAATCACATTGTCATTTTTCTCTTTGCTGGGCTGCATGCTGGTCCCTAAATCAGGCTGTCGAGGAGACTGGTGGTAGCCTGAAGTCCCTTGCCTTGCCATTCTGTTTAACCTGGAGACAATAACACACAAATCTCTGAGTACTAAAGAAACAAAGACTAACAGAGAAATGCGTGTACCAGATGGACCAGTCTTACAGTTTGCAAGAAAAGTTTCTCCAAAATGTCAATGGTTAAGGGAAAGTATCTTTTGGACAGAAACGATCCAAGGCCAGGAGTGTCATTTCTACCAGTTAAACATTTACAGTTTTCAGTCTAGGCAGGCCAGTGAGAATCACAGAAGATAAGGTCAGAGAGCCGCCGAGCAACATTCACTAGGTCAAAGTGTAAAGATTCTTCCTGCGGCCTCTGTGGTCTGATTCATGGTCCCTACGCCCTCCTCCCCACTGACTCAAGCTGGAGACAAGGGAAGGCCATGGGAGAAGGGTTTCAAGGTTCATCCAAGGGAAAGACTTGGTGAGCTTCGGAGCCCAGTGACATTTACTGAAAATGGAAATCTTGTGGCTTTGCTGCCTTTTTCCTGGGCTCAGGTGTTTTTAATTTTGTTATTTATACTGTGGTCATTTAATTTCTTTAGCTTTACAAGTCTGTTGATGGAGAATGCCTGCCTCTATTTGCCACGTTATTTCAGACCCTAACAACCCACTTCCCTGCCTTCCCACAGAACCTTTCTCTAGGTGAGTTACGAAAAACTAATAAGGAGTTGATGCAATTGTGGGGGCTCCTGGTGCCCCTACCAAAATTCTAGCTGCTCATTTGCTTGTCTGCGGGGAGTCTCGACCATTCTACTAAAATTTTTAAAAAAGTCTTCCAAGGTGTCATGTCCCCAGACAACACATCCTACCTAGTTCCTAGTCTACTGGTTAGTGTGGGAAGCAGGAAGTACAGGTCAAAGAGGGAAAGGTTCCTCCTGGTTTTCTTTCAAACGCTCTCATGCTTGCCCCGTGCTCCCTCTGGGTAGTGAGTCCTCATGAATACTGCTTTACCGATGTCACATGTATTTAAAATGCAAGTGCTTTTCTGTATGTGCAAAACACATCCATTCGCTGACTCATGTGAGTGCCCCAAATGAATTCTATGCAGTAAAGAACAGCATTTGCGACTTAATTAAAATTATTTAGGTCATTTATAATCATTGTGAATTGAACTGAGCATAATAAAAATCATACTCGCCAAAACGGTAACTCTTTCTCTCTGCCTGGCAAAGCCAGCCAAGCAAAGGTTTCAACGATCATTCTCTAACCAGCCTGTCATCCAAAGGGCTTGTATTCAGTAGGCAGTGTTCTTGGGAATGCTGCCCTCTGCTCCCCCATCCCCAGTCACCCTGAGTTTGTATCATGGAGAAGGGTGCCTGGCTGGGCGCTGTGCAGAGAAGCACGTGAAGTGGGGGTGCATTAGCTTCCCCACCCCTTCCATGCTCTCCTCGCCATCCCGTCAGAGTGCTTTTTTAGCAACCATCCTTTCTTCTCAATGGTTACAAACTCAAAAAGGACTCAGCCTCTTTTCTTCAGGAATAATGGTTTATTCCACTTTTTGATTGTAAAATAAATTCTGTTTTAACACAAAAAGTTAAGAAAGACGAAGTAAGTCCAGCATTTGGGGATAAATGGATATTCCTTTCAGGTTTTGGGCCTTTGCTCTTTTTAAAGATTATTTTATTTTATGTGTATAAGTGTTTTGCCTACAAGGAGGTGTGTGTACTACCTGCATGACTGGTCTCCAAGAAGATCAGAAGACCGGGCTCAGTGAGCTACCATGTGGGTGTTAGGAGTTGATCCTGGGTCCTCTGGAAGAGCAGCCAGTCCTCTTAATGGCTGAGCCATTAAGATCAGCCAGGTATAGTGGTGCAGAGGCAGGAGGGTATTGAATTTGAGTACACAGTGAGATTCTGTTGCAAAAAACTAAAATGGTTGAGCTCATTTTATTTGTTTCCCAATATGCTTTTTCCTTAGCATTAAGTTTAAAAATTAATTATTGCATGTGTTCAGGACCATGTTTGACAAGTATACCTCTTACCATGGTAGGGGCATAAGGATTAGAAAAATAGTAAAGAAAACGAAGACCGAAGATGTGAGTAAAAATTATAGAACAGAAAACACAGGATAGCACCAGGAAGGAATTCCAGTGAAGACTGAAAACCCGCGGTGTAATTTTCCTCACTTTCAGACCTCACTACAGTGGAGAAGAAGACAAAAGACTGCTTTAACATGACACAAAGACAGCTAGAACAGTTATTTGCTTTGTACTTTGAGACACCAAGTCATTAGCATTCTGTTGTGTAGGCAGCGAACCCACCCTAGACCAAGTGGCCTGAAGGCAGCCACTCCTAAGGTGAAACCTCCTATTTCAAAAGAAGGAGCAGAGGTCTGTGTAGGTATCCTGACCATTGGTCAGAGTGGAGTGGCTCTACCTGTATGGGTCACCTTAATGTCAGAAAGACAAGAAACCAAACCCTAGGTCACACTTGTCAATAACTTTGAGCAAGCTGAAACTCTCTGACCTTCAAGGAAGGTGGAAATAGGCTCACATTTTGGGGCCTCCACATGCACGCGTGCTCGCATGCGTGCGTGCGTGCGTGCGTGTGTGTGTGTGTGTGTGTGTGTGTGTGTGTAGATGCACAATGACATGGTGTACGTGTGGAGATCAGAGGGCAACTGTGGGAGTTGGTTCTCACCTACTGTTGGATTTGGGGATTGAACTCAGGTCATCAGGCTTGTCTGGCATCTTCCTAGCCCAGCAAGTCATTATAATCACAATGAAAGTATGATGATAAAGGATTAATCATAACACAGTCTACAACATCATCATATAGCTTATTTATGATTTCCTTGGTAGAGAGCATCTGGTCTCCCTCCAGTGGTTAAAAGTACCAAGTGAACACTTTTAGATATACCTCCAGGGCATTTTCGTAGGCACTGTCTCCTTTACACTACATAGACAGTATGTACATAGACAGGCTACATAGAGCGGACACGGTTTCAAAAGGCAGAGGAACTTTTGCTTCATTAGCTTGCTTAACTACCCTTGAGGGTGCACAGAGCCAGGCAGCAGATGAAGCAGATGCTGCTGGCCCACCCTCAAGTCGTCCGTCAGGGGAGACAAGTGTGCAAGTGTGAGGGGAAAGCTGACACGTTTCAGATAGCGAGTTCACTCCGCAAGCTTCCTGCCTTCTCTTTATGCTGTTCCAAATGCAAGATGGGCCCTGCTGTGTGGACAGCCTCGGTGTTCCTCCCTTCTAGTAGGAACACCTAGAGTAGCATCCGTCAGTGACAGTCGAAGAGAAGAATCCGTCTAGAAATTAAGCAGTCCCCCAGGACAATGAGGCAAAACTGCTGACCCAAGGAATTTCCACCACTCTGTAGGCAATTCGGGTTGCGGTGTTCTTTGGAAGTTCAGGTCCCTGCCTCCCTCTAGCGGTTGACCTGAACACTGGACAAGCGGGGATGATTCTGCCCTGCACAGACCAGAAGCCAAGATCGGTGTCCTTAAATGCCCTCTGGAGATAATGGGAACTGTGTTTCTGAAAAGCCCTCCTCACTCCACAGAAGTTGCTGCCTTTAACAGGCCATCTGTGTCTGTGGCTGCCACAGACATCAGGCAGTACTTTCTCCTTCAGGGCAGCACCCCAATTTCTTTCTTTTAATGAATCAAATTACCCACTGTGGCTGTGTGTGTGACTGTGTGTGTGTGACTGTGTATGTGTGTGTGACCGTGTATGTGTGTGTGTGACTGTATGTGTGTGTGTGACTGTGTGTGTGTGGCTGTGTATGTGTGTGTGACTGTGTGTGTGTGACTGTGTGTGCGTGTGACTGTGTGTGTGTGAGACTGTGTATGTGACTGTGTGTGTGTGTGTGACTGTGTGTGTGTGTGACTGTGTGTGTTGAAATAGGAGGGGCGGGGCTGCGTCTCCAACACCCGGGCCGCTTGGCTAGCTCATGCCTGAAATAACAACACACAAACTGTATTCATTTAAGAACTGCTTGGCCCATGAACTCTAGCTTCTTATTGGCTAGCTCTTACATATTGTTCTAACCCATTTCTAATAATGTGTGTAAGCACCCCAAGGTGCGCTTACCGGGAAGATTCTAACCTATGTCCATGTTGGGTCGGAGCTTCATCGCGTGTGCCTCAGAGAGCAGAGCTATCGGGAGAGCAGAGCATGGCAAGCATGGCGTCTCTGCTCCAGAGCAGAGCTGTCGGGTCTCTCCGGGAGCAGAGCAGAGTCTGACCTCACTTCCTCTTCCTCCTGTTTACTCCTCCCACCTATCTTTTAACCTATCAGGGCCAAGGAGTTCCTTTATTGCATAACCAATGAAATCAACAGATTGATATATGACACTCCCACATCACTTCCCCTTTTTCTGTTTAAACAAAGAAAGAAGGCTTTAACTTAACATAGCAAAATTACATATAACAAAACAGTTATCAAGTAAAAATTACAATAATCTATATCATAACTAAGGAAAACTATAATTATAGCTAACTATTCTTCAACTCCTTTAAAGACTCCAGAAAGATACAATATTACCTAAGCAAACCAGAAATCCAAAGCTCTAGAAATGACAGAGACATCTCGCTGCCTGGACAGTCACCCAAAGTTCCTCTGTACCGTTGGGGCATCCATCTTCAGCCTACAGGCCCATAGTTTCCAGCAGACATTTCCACAAAGCAGGAAATTTCAAAGGCAGTCACTATCTGCTTGTCCTGAAGAATGTCTTGCAGACTCTTTCATGAATCAGGAACCCCAAAAGGTCATCTCACCTTTAGGCAAGTTCAGCAGTCCTCTCTCTGCGGGTTCTCTGTGTCCAGTTTATGCAATAGTCCAGGCAAGAGCAGTCTCTTGCACAAATGGCTATCAAACTCCATAAGGATCCTCTTCGATGCCCATCTTCCTCTTGAAGTAGATTGGTGATGCCAGGAGCAGAGTGTCTTATTGTCATGAAAAGTCCTAAGTTATTAAAACATTTAAAATGTCACATTCTATAATCTTTGAAAGATATGAAGAATGCCTATCTAAAATATATCTATGTACATATAGAAAATCTTAACTAACATAACTACAAGCTTGACTATTATGATTAGCCTTCCTTTTTTGTTGTTTAAACAGAAAAAGGGGAAATGATGGAGGAAGGTCATTGGTTAATTATAATAAACCAACTGCTTGGCCTCATAGCTTAGAACATAGATGGGAGGAGTAAACAGAATAGAATTCTGGGCGGAAGAGGAAGTGAAGTCAGACTCTGCTCTGCTCCTGGAGAGACCCGACAGCTCTGCTCTCTGGAGCAGAGATGCCATGCTCAGCTCTCCTGGGTAGACTCAACAGCTCTGCTCTGGAGCAGAGACGCCATGCTTGCCATGCTCCGCTCTCCCGATAGCTCTGCTCTCTGAGGCACATGCGATGAAGCTCCGACCCAACATGGACATAGGTTAGAATCTTCCCGGTAAGCGCACCTTGGGGTGCTTACACACATTATTAGAAATGGGTTAGAACAATATGTAAGAGCTAGCCAATAAGAAGCTAGAGTTCATGGGCCAAGCAGTTCTTAAATGAATACAGTTTGTGTGTTGTTATTTCGGGCATGAGCTAGCCAAGCGGCCGGGGTGTTGGGGACGCAGCCCCGCCGCTCCTATTTCAACATGTGTGTGTGTGTGTGTGTGTACCTGTGTGTGTGACTGTGTGTGTGTGACTGTGTGTGTGTGACTGTGTGTGTGTGACTGTGTGTGTGTGTGACTGTGTGTGTGTGTGTGACTGTGTGTGTGTTGTATTTTCTTTTCACTAGGGTTTGAAACTACATTTTGATTGACTTTATGTCATGGGCAACATGTGTTGTTAACATGGGTCAAGCATGGAATAAATCAGCCATGGAGTTGACAATGCTCGCATAAACTATTAGGGAACATGCACACCATGCACGCGCGCGCACGCAAACACACACACACCCCACAATTGCTTTTGATTTTCATCAATTTAAAAGCATTAGGAACACAGTGAAAACCTGCAGAGATTGCAGATACCACCAGCAAACCACTTCCTTGGGACTATGTCCAAAGTCGCTGTGAGATTCTTTCCTCACAGAGAAAGTTACCTCAGGTAGCCACACCACCATTTTATACTGTATTGCCTAAATCTCTCATCAGTTTCTTCATGTGCTTGATGAGTCTACAGGTGAGGCAACTTGGTTCTTGATGGAGTATACATCTATCTCTTTTTCACCTGCCTCCTTCCTGTTCCCCTCTTTCCTTCCTACACTCTGCCCACTTTTCTCCCTCCCCCTCTCCTTTTCTCCCTCCTTTCTTCTTCTATTCTGACTATCCCTTCCTAGCTCCTTCCTTCCTATCTAAAGCAAACAGTGGGAAACATTGGTGCAGATTCTCATATACCCTTCAGGACTCAACCCACTGATAGGCAAACTGTGCTTCCATGCATGCATGTATGCAGTTATGCATGCGAAGCAGCCACTTCTCGGGGGCATAACTGAAGGAAGACTGTTCCCTCTGTGATCTGCTACCATTGCACTTGGCTCCTGATTTCAGGATAGTGCCACCCATTAGGCAGAAAACATTTCCCATAGGTAACTCTGGCTCAGTTGTCCAGGGAACGCTCTTCTGCTGTCCCACCAGGCCGTCTTCTCAGTCAGTGCCTGGCGAAGAACCAGCCACCTTCCAGGATTTGTGTGCAGCTGCATGTGTGGGGGAGAACTGTCCCCACCTCACCCGAATCTCACCAATAAGGCCGTGCATTTGGGCTGTGCCCCGCATTTCAGCTGACATCACAGTACACAGAAGGCCGTGACCTGTGAGAATGGAGTCAGTGCTTCACCCCAGGAACCATTTTCTCTTTTCTGTGAGCATGAGCTCTCAGTGCTTGTGAGAAGGGCAGCTGTTTATGGGCTTTCAAACAAAGTGCCTGAGGAAAGCAATTTAGTAAAGCCAGGGGGCTTTCTAGAGTCCCAACTGTGTGTTATCTGTCACCTGCCAGCACACAGTAGCAGCCTTTCCTCCAGAGGCCCTGGAGAGAGCAGTGCCTAAGGGCTCTGTTTGTGAGGTTTCAGGAAGTCACTTCCTCCATCTGGTTGGTATTGAACACCTGAGGAAAGCGGAAGGAGGCCTCAGATCTTCAGGGTGGGGTGTGGCCCACTGAGTCTCACTAGGTCATCTGCACCTCACTTAGTCCAGGGGAAGGATGTGTGAGCTCTTAATATTCTTGAAATCTAGCAGGTAATGACTATATTGGTATGCTCTATGCAAAATAAAACTGTAGTTGATTTTGAAATAACAAACTGATGGGTAAAAGTTCAGTCAGTCAAAGGTCAGAACCACCCCTTGCCTTCTGAGGTGCAGACACTGAACACCAAGTCATCGGATCACAGGGTTTTCAGTTTGTATTACTGGTCCCAACTTAGTCTTTTGGCATCTCTTAAGCCTGGGTTAGGGGAAGGAAAAAAAGCCTGTCTTTGCTTTAAGCCCCAGGTTACCTTTCGAAACGGTTTTGCTGAAGGAGGTAGCCTAAGCCTTCTCTTAGATCAGGGCAGTACCCTAGTTCCCCGATCCTTACATGAAAAGTTAATAAATGATGCTCTCGAAGGTTTTGTTCTCAGATGAATGAACTCAGCATTTTAGGTGAGAACAAAACAAGCCCTGTTCTCACGGCGGCCTCAGCTGACCCCGCTGCTGTCTTGCCCCATGACTGGAGAAGGAAGGAACCAGAGCATCCTCGTGCCCCCTGGCACTTGGCCTTGCTTGCAGTAAGTGGTTGGTCTGTTGCTAGGGAGTGTGATTCTTCTCACTGAATGATTGGAAGACAGGGTTAAAGAAGGACAGCATTGATTCTGGACCCCTGCTTCCCCTGCCTCCCCCACTGCCCCTGCCACACCCTAGACTGCATGGCTTATATTCTGCTCCTGGTAGGGCAGAGCAGGCAGGAGGACTCTGTCTTGGATGCTGTGCTTCAGAGGGCCTTTCCTGTGCTTACCTCCAATGGGGTAACCTTTCCCAGAGAGCAATGCTTCATCGCTCATCACAGCAGTGCTTCCCAGAACATGGCTTTCTCTATACCATCGCATGACCTAGGAATATGGCAGAAATGCAAATTCGCCGGTTGGTTGTAGCGCACGCCTTTAATCCCAGCACTTGGGAGGCAGAAGCAGGCGGATCTCTGTGAGTTCGAAGCCAGCCTGGCCTACAAGAGCTAGTTCCAGGACAGGTTCCAAAGCTACAGAGAAACCTTGTCTTGAAAAACAAAACAAAACAAAACAAAGCAAAAATGCAAATTCTTGGATTCCAATCCAGAAACCCAAAACTCTGAGGGCAGGGCCCAGCCATTGAGTGTCAGAAGCCACTTGGGATTCTGAAGCTTGAGCGAGTGTGAGGGCGCTACTCAGGTGGACCACATCTCTGGGGGCGGGCGAAATACTAGCTCCTCCCTCCGGCCGCTGAGACAGACGTACCTCCAGAGGGAAGACTGACGGCTACGTGAGACCTTGAGTTGGCGACTCACAATCAGATCTTGGTTATGACGGCCGTTATCCGGCTGCACTTACCCTTTTTATTCCTCGTTTCCTCACGGCTGGTAATTGAGCCCAGTGCCTGGTGTATACGGTCAAGGACTCTACCGCTAGGCTACCCTCGCTCCTTCAAAATATTCATTTCTAAGTAGGAGGACGACCTACAATTTTTTTGAATAGTTTGTTCATTTGCCTTTTACATATTTATGGCATGGCAGGGCATGCAGGCCTCCATGTTTACTCCTACTCTGTGTTTGATGCTGGAAGGTTGTAATATTTCATTCATTGGTTCCACATTTGCATATTATTACCATTACATATTAATTTATTTCTGCTTATCAATAATATTGATTATTGTTACTATACCTTTCTTCACTTATTTTAAAATCATTTTCCACTTCTTTATCTCTCTCTCTCATTCTCGTGCCTGCGTGCGTGTGTATGTGTGTTTGTGTGTGTCTATGTGTGTGTATGCGTGCGCGTGTGTGTCACAGTGTGCAGGTAGGGGTCTGAGGACAACTCTCAGGTCTGTCTTTCCATCATGCTGGTTCCAGGGATTAAACCCCATTTGTCACCCTTAGCAGCAAGCACTTTTATCTGATGAGCCATCTCTCTACCCAGGGGTGAGACCTGCTCTGGTATTTTTGAGACAGGGTTCTGCTACTTTTGCATTGGCTGACTTGTGCTCATTATGTAGCCCAGATTGGCATACACACTAGTAACCCTGCTGCCTCAGCCTCCCAAGTGCTGGGACCATGGTACCTGGTACCACTATCCTTGGCTTGCCTCTCTTGATCATAGTTGCTTTTACTTCCTTTGACAGATTCAGAGTGGTTAGTTAGGTTCAGAGTGGTTAGTTAGTTAGATTCAGAGTGGTTGGTTAGTTAGGTTCAGAGTGGTTAGCTAGGTTCAGAGTGGTTAGCTAGGTTCAGAGTGGTTGGTTAGTTAGGTTCAGAGTGGTTAGTTAGGTTCAGAGTGGTTGGTTAGTTAGGTTTAGAGTGTTTAATAAGGTTCGAAATGGTTGGTTAGTTAGGTTCAAAGTGGTTAGTTTTAGGTCTTTTTCATTCTTGTTTTCTTTGTCAGGGTGGTAGAGAAATGCTGGCACTGAATTGCATATGAAGAAAGTGAGTTGTCTAGCCCCAGAATTTATTTTTTGACTTTCTTTTTAAAATTTTAATTCATTCGCTATATCTATTTCTGTTAGTTTGATATTTAAATATACATAGTTAATATTATTTACCCAGCTACATTTTTAACATATTCTATATATAAAATATTGCTATTAGGGGCTGGGGTGATGGCTCAGTCATTAAGAGAACTGCCTGCTCTTCCAAAGGTTCTGAGTTCAATTCCCAGCCACCACATGGTGGCTCACAACCATCTGTAATGAGATCTGGTGCCCTCTTTTGGCCTGCAGGCAT